AATCAGATTGTTTCCTGCTGAGGCTCCACTGTTCCCAAATTCTGCAAGCCCAGTCAGTGCTTTTTTAGTTGTTTCTAGTATTGCGCTCTTTTGAGCTGCCAGAACAGCTTCATCGTCCTTTGGGGCAGCAAACCTAGAGCTAGCTGAGATCTTGGATGATGATGCGGTAGTGGTCGTGGTGCTGCTTGAGCCTTTGAGAGATTTAGAGCCGCCGTCTATGCTGCCATTGAGCTTAGGAAGCAATTGGGTGGAGCTATTTAAGAAGTCTTGGTATTGCTCTTCCGTAATTTGTGAAAGAAACTCCTCTATCTGCCTGTCTATTTCACTTGAGATGTCAGAGACAGAGACAGCCATAGGTGGGAAGATAATGTTGTTTTTCAAACTGTTATAGTATGCTGTTGCTGTGCAAAAGCTACCATGAGAATGCATTGCTGTTGCTAACTGTTGCTAAGTAAACTAGTTGTTTATTTTAGTACATGGTAGAAGTTGGACGCATATATATGATTATACCATAAATACATATACGTCTAAAAGGTGCCCTATCTACTGTAATCTGTAAAGCTCTATCCAGCCTGTAGAGTACTAGTCCTGGTCCTCATGGAAGGCTTGTTGACAAAGGAAAGCAGAAAAAACTGTCTCTTGCTAGCCATGGTGATTTTTCATGACTGAAAATGACTTCATTAATTAAATTCTCATTTCCAGACAAAATTTTTGGTTGGGCAATGCCTGTCCATGCCCGACCCTGCCGCTGCCTGTGCCAGTACCGTATGAAGTACATGTAGTCTTTAGTCATCGTCACATGCTCCTTCCTGGGCATAATGAGACTATTTCCATGCAAAGACTCTTTTCTTATACCAATTTTCTCTCATATAATTTTTCACTTCTTGTGTAAAATTTATGGCATAACATCAAAATTACAATACCGTAAACGTAAAAATTTTCGTGGCGGATAAATTTTCGTTTTTTTCGTGGGCCACACAGATCCACGAAATTTTAATGCAAGGGTATGGTGGTTAATTCAATAGGCCACGTGACAGCCACACGTACTGACCATGAATATTACTCGTCTCTCTTTCACACTTCAGCATCTCTGCTTCCCAGATCTCCTTATATACATGGTAACCCCTGATAACTGAAAAGATAGTGAAGGTACACATGAGGTAGGCATCTCTGCAGGTGTGGCCATGTCGCCACGTGGTCAATAAATTAATAAGATTGGGTAACGCCTACCACGAAATTTTTAATGCACGAAAATTAATTATTCCAGAAAATACGAAAATTTACACCACGAAAATTTTTACGTTTACGGTATAGAAGAATGTAAAGCATTGCCTCACCACACCCTGACATACATTGTACATGTATGGACTGACAGCACATACAAACAGAACTACTTTCCCAGTAAAGGCTGTGCCCAATGATACATTTGCTGTTCTATGATTAAGTTGTAACTGCTTAAATATATAAAGCCTTAAACTATTTATTTTGATGTGGGTGACATGACTGACATTTAATGCTTAACAGAGGCAGCATATTAAACAGTCAATTATGTGCCTACAAAAGTTTGACAACTATCACTTCAGTGAGAAGTTTAATGGCTATTATGGAATTCCCTTCATAACAGCTTCTATTCCCAGTGCTGTTATAATGATAAACATGACATTGATAGCAATTTAAAGTGTTATTCATAGACATTATTATTATGTAAACAATAGTGGGCTCCTTAAAATGTATGCCCACTCTTCTCAGTGCCACCCTGCCCATACATGTACCTACATGTAGCACTAATTTGATTTATACCAGAAAATATGTAAATTCATGTTTGAAAATTCTTTTTGACAATGATGCACCAATTAATCTTCAAATAAACCTTCCACCTTTTAGTTTCATTGTCTCAGATGATCAGATTCTCAACAGCCAGCACATCTCTCTACTGCTTTTGAATCTAGTGACTTTATATTTGAAATTTCTTAATCTGAAAAAGAATAAATAAAGTAAATAGAGTAATGTACACATTTATCAGACATGGGGTTATACTGTATAGTGCTTTATTTTTGAGGAGCAAAAGTTTTGCATTTTTTGTGATGCAATCGTAAAATTAAAGCTCCACTAAATTATTCAATCACTGTAAAGGGCATGGTGCTGATATCATGAATCTGCTTAATTATTTTCACGAAAAGTCATTTTTATAAATCTGTGAAAGTTTCGCTCCTCAAAGGAAAGCACTGTCGTAGTAATGCTATAGATAAAAATAGTATAATTGTAACATGCATATAAAAGTTGCAACTATAGTACAGACACTCGATGGTGAGTACTGCCTTATGGAACATATACATATGCATGTTCTTGTGTTATGTACATGTAAGCGTATTCTGATTACATTTGATTTTTTGAGATACTTTTCCAATTGCTTTAAATATTTGCTGAAGACCAAAATTGGCCAGGATAAACATTTTCTGACGTGCAAATACATGTTTTAAAAAGTTTAAGCTGATTTTGATCAAAAATAGATTTATCAATTTTTAAGTGGCTTCAACATTTGGCTAAGGACCATGGACAGGCATTCAATTAGTATACACCGCAGGGTTTCCACAGGATTTTGGCATAATGCAGCTTCTTCTCAGTGGATTGCCAATTTGCTCAAAAAATTGGGCTGCTCCCTACATGTAAAAACAAAATGACTGTAGGTCCACAATAGATACTAATAAATATTAAATGTAGTGCATGCTTTAAACCATGGTGTGCAAATGATTAAATTCTAATTTAAATAATGTACCCCATGTCTGTTTTATTGTGTGGTGAAAGGTTTCACTTTATCAATTATTTTTGAAATTATTTTACAATTTTGAGCAATACTGTATGGAGGTTTTATTTTGTTAGCATAAAATTTTACGAATTTGTTCAGATTTGCCATTTGTTGGTTGTGAATCTTACCTTCTACAGCCATTTTTCTAGTGTGCCACACTTTTTGTAGAATTTAATTTTGCGAGTTTAATGAAACCACAAAATTAGCAAAATTTATTTTCAGTGAAACATAACCCCTATGAAGTTGTGTGTATCTAAAGTGTAGAGCAAAGGTCCCTTTGTACAACATGGCCAATTAATCCTGCAATTTATGAGTGTTAAAACATGTGAATAGACTTTTAACTACTGCATGCATTCATAAAGAAGCCTCATCTTCCAGCTCCCATTCACTTTCAAATAAATGAAATAATGTCTTTGCTGTGCTACAATTAATACTTTACAACACCTCTATTACATGTATGTGTTCTTTTTTATTTTAGAAATTATGAAACACATTACATAAGACTGTGTTCGTAATTTATTTTAAAAATTAATTTACAGGATTAATAGACCATGGCTGAGGAACCTTTGTTTTACTATTTGAGCTACTAGAGGCATCTTTTTATTTTGAAATCTGCTATAATTTGTTATGCCTGTGAGATTGTGAATCATATATTAGAATAAGCAGTCAGTAGCTTAAATGTGCATGTGCTGTGCAGTGTGCACACAGTGTGTATGTATTTAATTTTCATTTGTGATTGTGAATCATTATGCGTATGCACTAACTGCATTCAGCTGTGTAGTTTTCATAGATCATGATACGATTTATATTATTATGCGTGTAGGTTTCCAGTAATGAATAGCAGTAGCAGTGACGAGGAAATACATATTCCACAAATAAATCTTAGGGAAAGAGCCCATGGAGCATCTCCCTTCGTTGGTGGTTTTAGAAGAGGAAGTCGTGGTTTTAGACCGGGTGGATGGAGAGGAAGAACTGATAGACCAGGAGGTTTTAGAAGCGATATATCAGATGAAAGTTTAGACCCTGGAAGCAGCAGAGGAAGAGGTGATAGAGGACGAAGAGGAAGAGGAAGGGACAGATTTCAAAGAAGCGACAGAGCTAGAGGAAATGATTATTCTTCTGGTGATAGACATAGTGCAGCAGATGGACCGAACAAAAGAGGAAGAGGAGGGAAGGATGGTAGCAGAGGAAGAGGAAGAGGTGGAAGTCGCTCTGCTCATGTACACAGAATGGAGTTTTCTGATTTGGTAGATTTAGCCAAGTCTCCACCTTCAGAGGTTGTTAATAAAATTCAAGATGATCTTAAAGGTTTCCAAGAGTCCTTGAATAGCTGTAATAAAGTACCTGAAAAAGTAAAGGAGCGATACATTGCTGCAATTATTAGTCTGCTCTTAAAAATTTGCCAATCGAGTGATGAAAAGGCTAATATGATAATTGCCGAATTTTTAAGCGACAGATGCTCTGAGTTTCATGTTCTTCTTAAGCACTATGTCTCCGAAACACTTCTTTCTCAAACTAATACTCATAATATGGTATCTCAGCTTTTGTTGCTGTTTAAGCAGTTATTAACACGTATGCCTTTGTCAGCATGGCATATTCTGCCTATTAATGATTTTCATGAAGTTGTAATGACCACATCAGTTGATTACAATGAGCATTTTATGGTAACAGATCTTAAAGCACTCTATACTGAAGCTAAACAGCGACATATGGAAAAGAAAAAATCGTCCGAGATTCATTTTGAATGGGATAACAGTCTTTATCGCACTATACCCATTGTACCTACAATGGATGAGATATGCTCTTCCGATCCTCCACGACTGAGGTCCAATATTATCAATGGAGCGTACACTGATTGGGAGCACTACTATGATGTACAGTTTCGTCTTTTACGTGAAGATTTTGTAGCTCCGCTACGAAGAGGTGTAACCCTTTATCTTTCACAAGAGAGGACTGGACGATTGACAGATATTAATGTTTACAAAGATGTCTATATTCTAAAACCAGAGTTCACTGAAAATGGAATATGTTATAAAGTTCAGTTTGATGTTAGTCGGTTTAGGCAGCGAAAAAGCTGGGCACATTCAAAGCGCCTGATATTTGGTTCACTTCTCTGTTTCTCACCCAAGAACAATCAATTCAGAGAAACCGTTTATTTTGCAACAGTTGTTGAGAGAAAGCCAGAAGATTTAGTTAAAGGGTATTTTTATGTTCAATTTGAAAATAGCCAAGAAATTTTTCAGCACATTCATAAGACCTGTTTTGTCGTTATTGAGTCCAGAGCCTATTTTGAAGCTATTCGTCACATTCTTGTGAGCTTGCAAAAAGCAGAAACAGGCACAATGCCATTCAAGCGTTATCTAATTGATAATAATCCTAGACCAGTAAACAGACCATCATATCTTCAAAATGGAACGTACTATGATATTACTTGGTTGTATCCTGAATCAAAGCAAAAGTCACACCTTAGCCTTGAAATTGATATCACAGATGAGCATTCTTGGCCTACTGAAGATCAATTAGAATTAGATGCGTCACAAATTAATGCAATCAGAATGGCACTCACACAAGAGATCTCAGTCATTCAAGGCCCACCTGGCACTGGGAAGACATACATTGGATACAAAATTGTTCAAACATTGCTTCAAAATCGGGATATTTGGGATCCCACACATTCATCTCCGATCTTAGTAATGTGCTATACTAATCATGCTCTGGACCAGTTCTTGCAAGGTATTATTCATCAAAAAATATACCTTGAAGACAACACAGATGAAATATTATTGCACTACCCATATGATATGCATTCAAAAGTTGAGCGTGTTCCAGATGTTGTAAGAATTGGTGGTAGGAGCAAGAGTGAGGAGATCCAGAAACATAGCCTATGGAATGCCCGAGGAAATACTGTGCCTTATTATAAGCTTCGTAATCTGCGAGAACTGAAAGATGATATTACTACAGAAGCATTAAAAATACCTCTGCATAGCAATGCAAATGTAATGTATGATGTAGTAAATGAGTATATGGTTGGCAGGGAGGGTATGGATTTACTGCGAGATGTCATTAATCCGTCTCATTTCTATGAATTAAGCCTTCTTGGTGAAGAGTTTGATGACATTGGTTTATCATTAGAGCTATGGCTAGGGTTTTGGACATTACCAACTGAGACAGCTCATCAATTTTCCATTTCATCTTCTATACCACCTGATACAGAACATGAATATACTAGTGCTCCTGATGACCAGTCTGCATGTGATGATGATGATGTCATGTTGGAAAATGAAGAAGAAAATATTGACATAATTGGTGAAGCTGAGATTGAAGAATCTAATAGGCAGCTAGATGATGTAGGCTTTAAGCGTTTAAAATTGGAGGATAAACATGTTTCAATAAAAGAAGATGACATCCTTAGCCAACATATTAAACAAGAAGACAAAGACCACAGTCAATTCAAAATAGAAAAAAAGGACAGCAGAGAAATAAAGAAAATTCTGCAAGCAATTCGTTATATTGACCCTCTGGAAGAAGATGAAGAAATAGAGATTGCTGATGTAAGAAACCTTCCAATGATAAGTAAGTACAGGCTCTTTAGATTATGGGTTGTAAAGTTACAACGGATGCTAACTGATGTTACTCAAAGAAAGCTTATTTCATTAGAAGAAAAATGTCGTGCATACAAAGAAGCTCAAATGGAAGTAGATCGTATTGCTTTAGAAAAAGCTGACGTCATTGGTATGACGACAACTGGAGCAGCAAAATACCAACATATTCTACACCTTGTCAAACCTAAAATAGTAATAGTTGAAGAAGCAGCTGAAGTATTAGAGTCTCATATTGTATCAGCTCTTAATGCTGGTACAGAGCATCTCATATTGATTGGAGACCACAAGCAACTGCGTCCTAAACCAAATGAGTATGAGTTAGCAAAAAAACATCACCTTGAAATTTCACTTTTTGAAAGGTTGCTGCTCAACAATCTTCCTCACGCTACTCTTCTTATTCAACATAGAATGAGACCACAGATATCCAGTTTAGTTTGTCCTTTTATATATGATGAGCTGATTGACCATGAAACCGTCACAACCTATGAAAATATCAGAAGTTGTGACAAAAACATGTTTTTCTTTAATCACAAGCATCCAGAAACAGAGATAGAGCATTTGCTTAGCCACTCAAATGTAGGTGAAGCTAAATTAGTTGTTTCTTTATGCAGGCATCTTCTAAAACAAGGGTACAAACCATCACAGATCACAGTTCTAACAGCTTACACTGGACAGCTACTCTGTGTGAGGGATATGATGCCTAAAAAGAATTTTGAAGGTGTGCAGGTTGTCAATATTGATAATTTTCAAGGAGAAGAGAATGACATTATCTTACTATCACTGGTGCGGAACAATGAATTGAAAAAGGTTGGGTTCCTTAAAGAAGAAAATCGTGTCTGTGTTGCTTTATCGCGGGCTAGAATGGGCTTCTACTGCTTTGGAAATTTTGATATGCTTCGTGCTGTTGTTCCAATTTGGGATCGTATTCTAAGTTACATTGAGAGTGAAGGATGTTTTGGCTCAAGTTTTCCTATCCACTGTCACAATCATCCTCAGTATAAAATTAGCATTGAGAAAGCTGAGGACTTTATTATTCATTTTCCTGATGGTGGCTGCAATATTCCTTGCATATATCGTCTTAATTGTGGACATCACTGTAGACGTCGTTGTCATGTGAATGATCCAAATCATGAGCAGTACTGCTGCAAGGAGCCTTGTGATAAGCTATGCCATAGAGATTTGCATCCTTGCCCACTTAGATGCTCTGATGCTTGTAAGCGTTGCACTTACCTTATATCTCAAGTAATGCCAAGTTGTGGTCATATCCAAGACATGGAATGTTACAAAAATCCTGCTGAAGAGCAATGCCATAACCCTTGTAGTAAAAAATGTCCTAATGGGCATATATGTCATAAAAAGTGCTCAGAATATTGTGGAAATTGTATAGTACTTGTGGACAAAATTATTCCAAGGTGCAAACATATAGTACAAATGTATTGTTTCCTTGATCCATCAATAGCAATCTGTTACGAGAAATGCCAAAAAATTTATGAAGGTTGCAATCACAAGTGCCCAAAAAAGTGCTTTGAAGATTGCTCTGTTTCTTGTGAGAAACAAATTGAGAAAGTCCTTCCTTGTTCTCATATTGATGTCATACCTTGCTCAATGGATCCAGCATTAGCAAAATGTACTAAACCTTGTCAGCGAAAAAGGGAATGTGGACATCCTTGCAAAGGAGTCTGTGGAGAAAGTTGTTCAAGTTATAAATGCTCAGAGCCAGTGAAGCTTACTCTACCTTGTGGTCATATATCTACTATCACCTGTCATAATTGCTCAACAGAAAATGTTTACGAGTGTAACAAACCATGTGAAAAGATACTATCTTGTGGTCACCCATGTAAAAGAACCTGTAGCTCTCCCTGCACTACTCAGTGTACTCAAAGAGTTTCATTTACTTGTTGCAAAGGTCATCACACTTACAAAGTAAGATGTTTTGAAGCTAAGAATGCAGATTTAGTTTGTGATAAAAAATGTGTTGAGAAATTGCCTTGTGGTCATGCATGCACTAACAAGTGTGGTGAAGAATGTTCATCTTGTGCTCAAAGTGTTGATAAACACTGTCCCTGTGGGCACAAACATAAGTTCAAATGTGGTGAATATGGAGTATGTTCTTGTAAAAAAAAGTGTCCTATAATTCTTCAGTGTGGACACAAGTGTTCAGGAGATTGTGGAGAGTGTTACACTAAACGAATGCATCCTCCATGCATGCACCAAGTACAAGTCAACAGGTTTTGTGGTCACTTTGGTTCAGCTCCATGCATTGGATTATTTGATCAATGCCAGCAATCTTGTCGTCTCTCAGTCTGCCCTCACAACAAAACACCTTGTGATCACAAGTGTTATGAGCCTTGCCATGCTGCACAATGTGAGGAAAAGTGCATTGTTGAGTGTTCCCACAGTAAATGCACTCAAATTTGCAGTGAAGTCTGTAGTGTACCAAGCTGCACTAAACCCTGTACTAAATTATTGGATAAGTGTCATCATTCTTGCTCAACTGTTTGTGGTGAAGAATGCATTAGTGAGTGTTGCCCAAAATGTAGTGGTAAGAAGTTTTCTGAGAAAGTCAAAGGCCTTGGGAAAAAAGCAAATATTACCACAGAAGCTATTATCAAACTTAATTGTGGTCACATTTATTCTGTAAACTATTTAAATCAACGGTTTACACCCAAAGGAGATCAAGACACATTAATATGTCCTCTCCTTTGTCCTGCATGTTCTAAGCCTTTTGTATTACCCTATTACTGGCAGATGACTCAAGAGAGAGCTAAGGATATCAAACAAGTTAAAAGGCAACTTCCAACTAATCCAGTTACTTATTCACCAGATCGCCATCGTTTAGCATTTAGAAAAGTTACTCTTGACGCTGAAACTGCCTGTGCATTAAAACTTTTCTCTAATGCTATGGAACTGAAATCTCAGCTCAATATTACAACATTTATTGAAAATATGCTGAAACAAACGAAATGTAAACTAACAATGCAGATTGTTACTGATATTGAGAGTGAGTTATTTCGATTAAGCCTTCTTACTTTAGCAAAACATGTTCCAGAAACTACTTTAAGTAAGCAACCACTTCATAGTCTACTGCAGCAAATGGATGAAGATCACAATTTGAGGCTAACTTACGAGATGTATGAAGAGTATTTACCAGCAATTCGTAGCAACAGTGTTTATGAAGTAGTTCCAGTATCTTTACCAAAGATAACTAAAGGACAGTGGTATAAATGCAGGCATGCTGGTCACATTTACTTCGTTCCTGCCAAGTATGGAGCCAATTGTCCAGAATGTACTGAATGTCACTCAAAGTAACTTAAACATAATTATTACATTGTTTTATTATTAGTGCCAGAAGACTTAGTATTGTCCTGTAGATTTTATGCCATTTATTATTGATGAATTAATTATAGATTACATTACCATGAAACTTAAACTTTAAGGCGTTTGAATATAAGATAGGTAGCCAACCAGATAAACAATATAATTCAGCTGTGCTTTTCTTTTTATCTGATGCTATATTTGCCTCCATTAGTTTTATTATGTCTCTTATGAATATACAGTTAAGCTGGTCAGTTTTAGCTTTCTATTTATCAAAACTGTCATTATGGCAAAATTGGTCAGTCACTGGTGTTATCTATTCTGAACTATTAAGTTCTTATTCCATTTACTATGCCCTTCAATATAAAAACCAATAAAAATAATCATAATTGTAATATAATATTACAAACCCCCTGGTTCAGATATTAATGATATTCCTGCAGTTGTTTCCACTACTACAGTGGCCAAAACGTGTTAACATGGCATGTGCAATTGTACCAATACCAGTCTTAGGGCTACTGCACTATTGGAGCTAGGACTAAAACTTTGGCGCATAATACAAAAACCAGAACAATAGAACTAAAGATAATATATGACACTAATAATAAGATTAAGCTATAGTTCAGACATCTTCATCATCCTGCTTTGCATCAGCATCGAACAACTGGACCCTCCTACCACCATTGGAAGCCTACAGAAATACATGTACATCAGTCATACAATGTAAGCAAAGATACTAGATAAAGTAATGAAGAATATCGAGATAGTACAGATTATTTCTTTCACTGTCCATTTTTAATTTTTCTGACACATAATACATCTTCTTAAATTACATAATAATTAGAGCTGATTCCAATAAATTATTGCTTTTTATGAATCTTTAAAGAGTTTTACAAATCAAGCCAAAGACCATGTGCCTAGTCTCGCCCCGCCCCTTCGCTACCTGCGGAGGGGCGTGGTGAGACTACCATGTACCATAGTGCATGGTCTTTGGTCAAATTTCATCAAAAATTGCAAGGAGAAAATTTTCATTTTATAATTTTTTCTAGCTGATGTACAAAAATTGGAATGATTCTAACCAAAATTGGATTTTTATGTTAACATTGTGAATCCAATGTAAAGTAGACCTTGCATCATGAAAGTAGGATTTTAATTTTAGATTTTAGTCCTGGCTGTAGTTTCCATTACTTTTTGACGAATTAGTATAAAGTAAATGCAACTCAATCTTCTTTTTTCAAAAATTTTTGTATTCATAACCCATGGTATTTGGCCAAATTTTGAAGGGATTAAAATTCATAACAATCCAATTTTAAACGAAATCAACTCAAACTTCATATACAGCATAAAAACATGTGTGCATATCAAAAATACAAAAATGTAGAAGCCAATTTCTATAAAATATCATGTACTATAAGCCCAAGCTCTTTGGCCAAATTTTGAAGCAACAGTTACTTTAAAATTTTTTCATAGTGGGCATGCATGCAAGCCTTCCCCTAGCTATAGTAGGCTTAGGCTATAGGCCATACTGTATTACTTACTGTAAAATTAACTTTAAAACAACCCAATAATAATGGAACTACTGTAATGTGAGGTGTAAGACTGAACTATGCAATATTAAGACTGAACAAGGTATTAAAAAAGGTGTGAACAAAATTCTCGATAATTAAAATGCGCATACCTCTGTGTATCCATCAATTTTTCTAACTATTGTTAACGCTCTTGTTTCACCACCTTTGTAATTATGGTATGCTGGTACATTACTAGTTTTGGTCCTTCTGACAAAGAATGTATCTGAAAATAGTAACACAAAATGGTGCTCGAATGCTAATAGTCTCACGTGATGCTGTATTTCTCAGATTCCTATTGAGTGATAGAATAGTCTAAAAGTTAATGGTAAGTAACAGTGTGATTCTGAAGAGTTTTACTT